GTAACACTGTATTGTTTATAATGGAATGATTTTATTTTAATTAAGTTATGGTGTGTGTACAAACTAAAGATCTAAAAATATATACTATAAGGTTAATTAACATAGGTGTCAGTTAAACAGTAGTAGTGTTGGGATGGTATTATACAAATATGATGTTTTTTCTCTTTTCTTTTCTCTTTGTTTTTGAGACAGGGCCTTGCTTTGTCACTGAGGCCTGTAGCGCAGTGATGCACATCATGGCTCACTGCAGCCTTGAACCTCTTGGCCTCTTGAGCAGCTGGAACTTAGTGCGTTCACTACCATGCCTGGCTAATCTTTTTAATGTGTGTGTGTGGTGTGTGTGGTGTGTGTGTGTGTGGTGTTTGTAGAGACAGGGTCTTGCTATGTTTCCCAGGCTGGTCTCAAATCGCTGCGGTCTCAAACAAATCCTCCCTACCCGAGCCTCCCAAATTGCTAAGATTACAGGCCATTAGCCACCGCGCAACCAGAGATTGATGCTTTTTATTTTCTTATTGTTTCTGCTTGTTTCTTTTTATTTCCTGAATTTTATCCATAACGGTGGCATGCTCTTTTAGGTCCTGCAAAAGTTTAATTGCCAGGTTTCGCCATTTAAAGGCTTTCATTATAATTAGTACCAGAAATAACTGAGAAAGGATAGCAATTAATTAAAAAAAGGGTTTAGTCATGCCAGGTTACAATTTTGTTATTCTCAGTCGTGTCTAGAACCTGAGGCTCACCATGAGGGTGGAGACCGGGTGGAGCATTGTGACTTACTTTTTCATTTGGTAGTAGCCCTTTCTTATCCAGTTCCAAAAATTACCAGAGCCAGTTCTTTTGTCTTCCAGCCGCAGCAGGCTTCGGTCCAGGGTAAACCTCCTTGGGCCTGATTCCCTCAGAGGTCCGCATAGGGGGCTCTTCATACACCTCTGTGTCCAATGGGGTTTTAGGGCTACTCTCTCTGGGGGCCTGCAAAGGCAGTCAAGAAACATACAACCCGGAGCTGGACCCCACATCAGGATTCATCATTCCAAGAACATGATTTTCATGGGAGTGTGAACTCAGAGTAGCATCAGTGTTGCAAGGGATGAGAAATTCTGAAGAGCGGCAGGGACACTTCCAACGTCGCTGGGTGAGGGAGGTGGGAAAGACCATTTCATTCAATAGCACCACCACCGCTCATGGGCATGTGGTGCCTGCTACCTGCCACCAGATGTGAGTGTCTCCGTGGCTAACTGCGGCTGTATCGAAATCACGGACGTGGGGTGGATTCGTGAACCAACTCTACAAACTTACAAGTGACCACGTGCTTCGCTCTGTGAATGTCCCTTGAATGAAAGCAAGTCTCACCTTTTTCTGCAGCCCAGGGTGCAACTTCTGGCTCATACGGATTGAATGACACAGTACTCTCTGGCCGGTTCCCTTGGGCAGGGGAGGGCTAAAGTACATGAAGGACAACAGGTTATTTTTCTTCATCCATACAACTGTTAAATTGATCTGCATACTTATTTTTATTTTCCAATAATCACAGTTTAACTTTTGCAGAAAAGACAAAGGAAAGAACAGGGAGGAAAATAAGGCTGATCTCATTCTTCGGGCAATTATTTGGATCTTGCAAAGGCTAAAGCAAGCTTGTGCTGCTACAACTCAAGGGATCCTGCGAGGTGTTCAGAGGGTGTGGTGAGAGTCAACTCCACTGGCCTGGATAGAGCTGCTTGCCCACTCACCCCCTGGCACATCCTATTCCCACCTACCAAAGGTCACTGACGATGTGCATGTCCGCCTTGGATGCATTTTCCTCCTTTAACTCGTGCTCTTCAATTTCATATTACAAGGACATTATTTAAAGAGGAAAATTTGTCCTCATCAGCTGCTCCCATCTACTTCCCAGCTCCAAAGCACGTATGTTTTCCTAGTCTCCACCCAAGTCTTTATCTTCAGTGGAGATGCAGCAGCATTGGGGTGGATGGCAGAGGGTGGCACTGGTCAGTGACTACAGGTCCCAAGGGAAGGCCAGTCGCTGCCACCTAGGCCAGCAATGCTCTTGCTGCCATGGCTGCTGCTGGAAATCAGTACCCCTGTGAGACGGGGGCTCCTCTTTGTGCAACTAAAGGAAGGCAATTCTTCCTGATGCCCACAGCAGGTAATAGAGGCATATCTGAGACAAAGTTATGCAGCCTGTTAACAGCAACCTTCCCTATTATTTGATCCACATCAGTTTATATCATGAAACAACTGGGTGGAGGGAAATCTACTCATTATCCTAAGGACTTTCCCTTTTGAAAGTCTCTGTCTTGAGTTTTCCTGACCCATCCTTTCTTCCCAATTAAAACAAGATTCTTGCTACTAAATTTAATTCACAGGAGAACCATGATTCAGATTTTTTTTTTTTTTTTCAGTGTGAGTTGAGTCACAATTCTATGTATCGATTGACCTCTTTAGTGCCCTAACACTGGCCACGAAGAAATGAGATACTGCCAGATTTTGGAGAAAGTTAAAGAAACAGAGACATAAAGCTTAACATGACAGTCACTTATCTTATGGTACACACTAAATCCTCATGTGCCTTATTAATGTTACAAGGCCAGAAACCAAAAGCAGAATAATGAGGTCACAATGCACCACTACCACCACTCAGCCATCGTTTCCAAACACCCAGACTTTCTTCTTTCACGCGGTCTGCTGAGTACTTCAGAGGCAGGCATTGCTCACCATGGCCCAAGCCCGTTGACGAGGCTAAAGGACATCGGGTCTTATCTGTAACAATGATGTCGACGGCATCCATTTTTCTCACAGACTATCTCAGCATTCTTACTGAACTGATTAACAGAAGTAACTATGATACATCAGAATAAAAATAGAATATAAGTGCAAGGTGGGGGAGACATTTATTCACCGCATTGGGGACTGTGCCACATCCACAAGGACGCTCAATAAAAATGTGTTGAACAAACATATGAATGAATGGATGGGCGAATGAATGAAAATAACTTCTAAAAACTAGAAGATGTGAATGAAGTATAAACTAATGTGCTTTAAAAATTAGCTCTCTCTCAAGCCTTTATGCTAATGAAGAGAAATAAGAATGAATAATTCCAAACAACAGTCTATTTCTTTTAAACATTTACATATGATTACAGGACTGTGCTGTGGTTTCACTTCTGATTTGTAATACAATTACCCTGCCTCTGGAAAGCTGAGTGAGGCAGGTGGGAAAGACCATTTCATTCAATAGCACCACCACCACTCATGGGCACGTGGTGCCTGCTGCCTGCCACTAGATGTGAGTGTCTCCATGGCTAACTGCGGCTGCATTGAAATTACAGATGTGGGGTGGATTCGGGAACCAACTCTACAAACTTACAAGTGACCACGCGCTTCGCTCTGTGAATGTCCTTGAATGAAAGCAAGTCTCACCTTTTTCTGCAGCCCAGGGTGCAAACTGGGTGACAGAAACTGGGTGATTCCCTAGGCTTTCCATCCTTCTTTTTTTCCCAGTTCTCTCCCTCCCACAACCAATTCTAGGCTGAAAATAGGTTGTTGTTGTTTTTTCTTTTTTTTTTAAGCCTCTTTAAGTGTTAACATTTACTGTCATTTCAACTCCTTTGATTTTCCTTGCAGGTAGGCACATTCTGAGATCCAAAGACGAAACTTGAACAGACATGGCATTAAAGGATGTCCTCGGACTAGCCATCACAGGCGATGAGAGGGAGCATCACCCCTTCTTGACGTAAGACCTCCTGTCCCTCCCACTGAGGGCATTATCCTGGGGTTGCAGCCTCTCTACACTCACAGAATGTTCTCCAGACCAGGAGGACTTCCAAATGGCTTGTTCCAATTAAACCAGAATGTAATTCCCTGACATACGAATCCCGTAGGGAAGAATTTTAAAACAGAGATGGGGTTGTCAAAATATGCTGAAAGGGATACTAGGGTGTCAGGAATGAGTAAGAATTAGTAGCGATGGACACAGAGAATCTAACCCCCGGGCATGAATAATTTATACCCTCACTAGCAGTGTGTTGTTCAGCCCTAGTCTATCTTGGCTTATGGATCGGGAAACAGATGGGAGATCTTCCTTGGAAGTTAGAACTCCATGTTTATAGCCAAGGAAGCTTGGGGCTTCATTTCCATGCTGCCCAGCACAGACCACTATGTGATGATGAGCCTTTTAAGCCAAGCCACAAGAACTCTCACGGCTCTCAATAACCCCACATCAACTCTCTCCTACCCAGATCCCTGGGCTCCCTGCCCCTATCGCTTTCTGGTGACTAATGGGACTGGAGCAAAGAATGATGCCACAGTTGGAAGAATGTGGAAGAAATGGGAGGTTTCCTATTGAGTCAGTTAAAAGAACAGTAGTTATTTTATGATAAAGATGACGCAAAATCCACGTTTCATCTTTCCCAAAGCACTTGGTGAATATGCCACTTAGTAGAATAACTAAAACAACCTCTAAAAGAAAATGCTCAGTTAAAAAGAAAAATTTAGGCCGGGTGCAGTGGCTCACGCCTATAATCCCAGCACTTTGGGAGGCCGAGGTGGGTGGATCACAAGGTCAGGAGATCGAGACCATCCTGGCTAACATGGTGAAACCCCGTCTCTACTAAAAATACAAACAATTAGCCGGGCGTGGTGACGGGCGCCTGTAGTCCCAGCTACTCGGGAGGCTGAGGTAGGAGAATGGCGTGAACCCGGGAGGTGGAGCTTGCAGTGAGCCGAGATCATGCCACTGCACTCCAGCCTGGGAGACACAGCGAGACTCCATCTCAAAAAAAGAAAAAGAAAAAAAAAAAATTTGAGGAGTTTGTAAAGAATGAGCACAGTGGCATAATGATAAGTTGTAAAAATATTATTTTAAAAAAGCAATGACATTTAATTTTAATAAAAAATGTATTTCCAGTCTACATTATTATTAGCCTTTTATTCTTTATGTTTGTATTTGAGAGATCCATTCTGTCCTAATCAGTAAGTGTCATCTGTTCTGCACGGTGAGCAACAAGATGTAAATGAAATGCTGACCATTCCATTTTCTTCATTTTCGCCAATACTCAGAACAGGCTCAAACCCGCAGTCCACCACTAGATGGCATGAGCCACCTTAGCTTTCTACCTTCCGAAAGAACAACTGGTGATTTTTCCTTAAATTTTATGAATTCAGGTAATGACATCACTCTGCAATAATAAGTCCAGTTATAAATTATTATCCCTGATTTCCTATTGGTAAGGTTTAACTTCAAATAGAAAATGTACTTCACAAGTATTCTTTGAGCGCCTATGTTTAAAAGCTGGGGATCCAAAAGTGAACAAAAGAGGAAAAAATTATTGGTCTATGGAACTGACAGGCCCATGCAGAGTTTCCTGATTCCAGAGTATTGCCAAGTGTCCTAACATCCATTTACTAGATCTTAATTTTTACTCCCAGATTCTTGGGCCATTTTCAAATTAGGCAATAGCAGTAATGCAGATGACAATACAGTCATCAGTCATCACAATAATAGTGACAAAAGAGCCAGTTGGCTTTAGAATATTGGCTGCAATAAACTAGGTGTGGTTTCCTTTTTTTGGAGGAATTACCCTGGTTCAGTAGACCCCCCACAGGCGAGGGTGTTGGCCAGGAAATAGGCTACCATCAGCCTTGCTCTGAGATCCATGAAAATAACACTGATCTCTGCAATTACTCTTCTCTTACAGCGAAGATCTAAAGTCTGTTCCTTTCTAATTATATGAAAACACATTTTCTCAAGGGTCTAGTCTACTAAGGCATTACCAAGCAAAAGAGTATGACTTGAGGATGTTTCTTTCTTTTTTCTCTTCCCACTGAGCCCTGTACTTAAATGTAAGTTTTAAAATATTATAATCACCAATGTATGTGTTGGAATAAAACATGAAAAATGGGTTTTAATTGGAAATTCTGGGACACATTTCAGTTTAATCCTCTTAGGGGATGTGCCTTTGAAATGCAAAGCTGAAAAGTTCCCTGGAAGTCTATAGGGATGCTGCTCTTCAATTTCCACCTATTTTCCATAAAAGAAGGATAAGGTTCTGTGCTTAAAGCAGCAGAGAAAGAAATTCCAGGACTAATACTGGGAGGGGTTTAATTCATTTAAAGACTACTAGTTGTATTCTTAAGTTAATTTTGTTTATATTGTATAAGCATGTTACTACTTTCTTTTCTTTTCTCTTCTCTTTTCTTTCTCAGAGTCTTGCTGTGTTGCCCAGGCTGGAGTGCAGTGGCACGATCTCTGCAATCTCCACCTCCCAGGCTTAAGTGATTTTCCCGCTTCAGCCTCCTGAGTAGCTGGGAGTATACGTGTGTGCCACCACGCCTGGCTAATTTTTGTATTTGTAATAGAGACGAGTTTTCACCATATTGGCCAGGCTCGTCTTGACCTCAAGTGATCCACCTGCCTCGGCCTCCCAAAGGGCTGGGATTACAGGCGTGAGCCACTGTGCTTGGAAGTATGATACTAATTTCTAAAGACAAGTTTAAAATGCATCAGCCTGTTAGTAATTTTATGAAACATTTCAATTATCTGATTGATAATCATCTTCAAATCAACACATACTTTTCATCAACTATCTAGATGCTATAGGTAATTCAAGTTCTAACATATATATATTTTTTGTGCCTGAATTATTAAAGCAACTATTTATGCTGAGAAAATTAACAAGTTCAAGAAAGTTATTTATCTCTTAGCTAACATGATGGGACATTTGACATAATTCTCACAATTCTTTTCTCATGACTGATTACATAATGGAAAGTTCCCCGTGTGTTTGTGAAAATATACATATTAGCTCTAAAATATTTCTGATAAGCAATTAAAATATTTTTAGTCTATAGCTTAAACCACACAACCTTGATCTTTTAAAAATTATCTCTTGATATTTTTGGCACTATATATGTGTCATCATTAGTAATACTTATTCCCAGTTTCTTACTTCTATAAAAAATTCAATGTATACTTTAATGTTCTTATAAACTTAAATAGAAACCAAACTTTTTTTTTTTGCCAGAAAGGTATTTTCACAATAGTAATAAGATTAATTACTCTCTACTATTTAATTTTGTTTTAAAAAATTGATTAAAATTTTTTAACAGGCTCAAATTTAAAAAGATACAACAGAATTTACAATGAAAAGTGGAATTTCTTAACATTCCCATCTCTTACTCCAGAGGCAACCAGCATTGCCAGTATTTTCTGTATTTTTCTAGGATACTCTATACGATATCAACACATTCTGTATATATGTGTGTGTGTGTGTGTGTACATGACATTGTCTTTTACAGTTAACATTATATTTTGAAAACAATTCTAGATCTCAGTTGTCTCCCACGGTAGCAATTTTACTGTAACTAATTTCATTTGTCTTCCATTGATAAGCATTTAAATTATTATCAGACTTTGTCAATTATACAGTTTTGGAAAAAACACCTTCACATGTACATGATTTCACATAAATGCAAGAATATCTGTACATACTTAGAAATACAATTGCAGAGCCTTTCTTACAGATTGCATCATTTCAGACTTCTCCAAGGAAGAGTAGGAGTGCTAATCTACCACGCCTTTACTACAGAGTTACCAAGCTTTTAAAATGCGGATCCATTTCATAGGTGGACACAGTCAAGCACCATAGTTTTAACTTGTATTTCTCTTCTCATGAAGTTAAACAACATTTCATATGTCTAAAAACTATTTATGGCCGGGTGCGGTGGCTCACGCCTGTAATCTCAGCACTTTGGGAGGCTGAGGCAGGTGGATCCCGAGGTCAGGAGATCGAGACCATCCTGGCTAACACGGTGAAACCCTGTCTCTACTAAAAAATACAAAAAATTAGCCAGGTATGGTGGCGGGTGCCTATAGTCCCAGCTACTCGGGAGACTGAGGCAGGAGAATGGCATGAACCGGGGAGGCGGAGCTTGCAGTGAGCCGAGATGGCGCCACTGCACTCTAGCCTGGGCGACAGCCGTCTCAAAAAACAAAACAACAACAACAACAACAAAAAACCAAAAAGAACTATTTATATTTGCTTTACTATAAACTACTACTGATATTCCCTGTCCATTATCCTAGTAGACAGTTAATATTTTTCTTAATGATTTGTAGAATCTCTTTGTATATTAAAGCTATTAATCTATGTGTCAGCATTAGTGCTACTTACTCCCAGTTTCTCATTTCTCTTTTGATGATGTTATAGTTCTTATCTACACACATATTTCTTTATTTTTAGGTGGTAACTGATATTTTCTTCAATTTTTTTCTGACATGTTCTCCTGTAGTCTAAAGATGCACTAAAACTTATTTTCTAGGTATTTCGTTAGCCACTGTGGGTAATCTGTGGGCGTGGTTTGCCTTGGGTAAACATGAAAAACAGACATAGTTATTTTATTCAGGTGTAAAATACACCTTTTCTTCCTCTCAAACACTGCATTAAATCGTTCTGTTCTATGGTCAACATGATTGAGAACTTCTTGAGTATGAGTAAACTTGGAAAATTATTACTAAATAAAACCTCACGGGTTTTATGTCTTTTATTTCTGCTGTTTCTAATAAATACTTTAGGCAATCTACTTCATGAGTGGATGCTCAATTATATGCTAAAATATCGGTAAAAACACCAATTAATATGAAAACAAAAAGAATTTCTGATAAAAAGAATCAGTTTTACCCCACTGATAATAAAAGTAGAATGGAAAAAAAGCAATTCAAGCACATCATATATTCATATTTTGGGGGAAGGAATAAATGAGTCATTATAAATAAAAGTCATTAAAAAGAACTTATTTTTATTTTCCCTCAAAATCCAATAATAGAACAAAACATGGAAATCAATGAGATGTCAACATTACTGCCTCAAAAAGAAAACTGTTTTTTCTAGTCCTCAGATTACACCTCTTCTTTACATGTCACATTTGCAGTTCTGTGTTAGACGTTTAAGCCATAAGGAAGTCACCATGCACTGCCTGACCTCACTGTGCAGCGCACCTCACAAAACCCGGGCGTTCCCTCCATCACAACGTAACTTACATAATCAATTACCAGAACACTGCAACACCGGAGTCTGGCCACCAAAAAGTAAGTGGGCCATCTTGGAAAAGATTTTCCGACATGATAATTAGCTATGACAGATGACGCCAACCGAAACGACTTTAAAAAGACACTTGAGCACAGAAAGCATGCTCACACTGATGGACTTCCAGCTGACGGACGGAGGACCCACACAAAAAGCACATGATGTACCTGGGGTGCGGCTGCCCAGGAATGGCAGGTGTGAGCAAGGGCAAAGAGGCCTGGAAGCAGAGTGGCAAGAGGTGGGGGGCAGCGCACACGCAGGGCAGGCTGGGCGGGCAGGAGCTGAGTGCGGGTTGGTCCTACCACTTAGTTGGACAGCAAGCAGGGGATGCTTTAGCACCTTTCTGTGGCCAGGCTTTGGGAAGGAGTATGATTTGATTCTTGAGATTATTCCACCCGCTGACCAAGTCTAGAAACCACAACGGCAAAGAGGAACAGTAAATGTTTCAGAAGACAAATACAGACCCCTTCCATGACATGCTACTTAAACTTGCTTCTGTAATCGCACCACTAACCCCCTCCTGCCCCTGCCAATGAGATCTACCACGGGCAACACCTGATCATTGGGAAGACTTCTGGAAGGGCCTGCCACTTGGGGAGAAGGATCTAGAAATATATTTGGGAAATATGTTCCACTGAAGGCTACAAAATTAGAGCTGTTACATTTACTAGCTCTTGCTTCATGTGGAATTATTAAGTCACAAACTCAAGACAAACCACCCGAAAGAAACCACAAGTAGATCTGAGTGCTCAGTTGTGTTGCTTCTTCATGGTGGGTGCTGGTTCCATGGTGGAAAATTTTTGTGGAAATTAATTGAGTTGTACATGTAGGACCTCTGCATTTTTTCTCCGTACGTATTTTACCAGTCAATTAAAAAGTTATTCCAAACTATTTAACTTCTTGTAGCCATTGGGTGATGATGGCTAAACACAGGGCTTGACATTATTTTAAGAGTTCTCAGCCCTAAGCCCTCATCCATCTGAAGGGTATACGGATCTGTCTTATGGAGCCTATAATATTAAGGTAGAGTTGCCAGGCCTGAGAGCCCTGTAAAGGGCAAAATAAAGTCACACCTCCATAAAGGCATTACATTTTGATCCCAAAGTTCACTGGTATTTTAGCAAATTCATGTTCCCTGCATTTGATAACAAGTGCTGCCTCTGGATGGCCTCCCCTGTTTCAACCTGGGCTCAGCTCCTGGGCAGCCAATTGTCCCTACTGGAGGCAGGATGTGTATTTGGCTTTCTGCAGATTTTGTTTTTCAAGGGTTACCAGGCAAAAAGTGAGGTGCAGAGGGCACACTTCACAGATGGCATTAAAGGGCATAAAAAGTCCATATAGGCTGGGCTCACGCCTATATGGTGGCTCACGCCTGTAATCCCAGCATTTTGGGAGGCCGAGGTGGGCAGATCACGAGGTCAGGAGATCGAGACCATCCTGGCTAACATGGTGAAACCCTGTCTCTACTAAAAATACAAAAAAATTAGCCAGGCATGGTGGCGGGTGCCCGTAGTCCCAGCTACTTGGGAGGCTGAGGCAGGAGAATGGCGTGAACCCCGGAGGCAGAGCTTGCAGTGAGCAGAGATTGTGCCACCACACTCCAGCCTGGGAGACAGAGCTAGACTCCATATCAAAAAAAAAAAAAAAAAGAAAGAAAGAAAAAAAAAGTCCATATGAAGTCCCCAAGAAAAGATCAGGAAAAGAATTCCTGCTTAGAGCATAAATCTGTACCTGACCTCCTAACAGGCTGGAGGGAGGAGAGAGCTGGGGTCCTGTGGATTATACATGTGTTAACATAGACGGTTCAAGGATGAAGTTAAAAACTATGTTCCCATTTCTCAAATATTGCAAGAGGCCTACTTCTGATTTAATATTGGGTTTCATTCGCATTGTGTATATTCTCCAAAAATGAAGAGAATTTCACCTAGACAAGAAGTTAAGAAAATGTGACTAGGCAGGGTGTGGTGGCTCATGCGTGTAATCCCAGCACTTTGGGAGGTTGAAGTAGGAGAATAACTTGAGGCCAGGAATTTGTGAACAGCCTGACCAACATGGCAAAACCCCGTCTCTACTAAAAAATACAAAAAGTAGCCAAGTGTGGCAGGCACCTGTAATCCCAGCTACTCGGGAGGCTGGGGCATGAGAATGGCGTGAACCCAGAAGGCAGAGGTTGCAGTGAGCCGTGATTGCACCACTGCACTCTAGTCAGGGTGACAGAGTAAGACTCTGCCTCCAAAAAAAAAAAAAAAAAAAAAAAAAAAAAAAAAAAGAAAAAAAAATGTGGCTAGTTTATCACTAACAGTAGGCTGATTGTGCCTAACACTCACTAGAAATTCCAGCTCATCAAGGAAAATGTTTTGAAGGGCAATCAAAATATCAGTGACCACCACTCCTGTTAGCTAAAACATGCTTTTCATTTGTGAAATATGCAACAGCTTCTCATTCAGTGGTATTCCTAGTGACACTTACCGCAGGATGGGAACCTGGAAGTTGTGGACGACCTCCAAAATTAACATTTCCTGGTTGAGAGAATATGGACCATTACTACTCTATCTGTGGAAACCACTTCCTTTCCCCCCACCCCCTGCAGGTCGGTCAATGAGATCAGGATGTGCTGCTGCTTGAGAAGTGAGCACGTTTTCTGCAGGTACTTCTGACCCTCTTTTACTTTTTCCCGCATGCAATTAAGACAAATAATTACAATTTTTTTAAAAGTTAAAGCAACCAGCTATTTTTTGATTCATGATCTACAAAACTGGAGTGCTCTGATAACGTTATTAATCAATCCGTAAGAAGAAGTCCTCATCCAACCCGAAACTGCAATCAGCTAAGTCGAAAACGAGGCTGATTGTCACTGATACCTCAAACAGTGAGACTCCGGTGTCTCGGGAACTCACCCTGTGTGCCGATTTTTTGACACGGGACAGTAAGAACTCTTAACAAACCATCTGCTTTATAAGAATAATGCTCGACGAGCTGAAAGAGAAAAAAGTAAGAAAGTGTGGTAAATAACAAGGTCAGGAAACAGAGAAATAGTGACTGAGAGCTGCTGACTGACTGTTGGGCTTTCAAAGTGGCCCCAAGACGCGTAAATGCTTTGATGTGCGTAAGTCCACTCCACAAGGGTGGCTGGGGAAGTGGGCCCACAGCTAGGCATCCTCCCTCTTGGGCTAGGGGCAGCAAATTTTTTTTGTAAACAGAAAGTGGTATTTTTGGTTTTTGTGGGCCTCATACCATATCTGTGTCCTTTGTTTACTTATTTATTTATCCAAAACAACATCTTTAAAAGCATAAAATCCATTCTCTTCAAGGACTACACAGAAACAAGCTGAGAGCCAGATTTGGTCTGTGGGTTTGCAGATCCCTGGTCTACAGTAAAGAATATTGAAATAGGGTAGTATAGCAATCACCAATTCTCTGTGAAATGGCACTGGGGCCCTTCAGTTGGGGTAGGGTACAGAAGTACCTTACAATGCTGTCAAGAAAAATCAATGAAATCATGCACGGGAAATTGGAATGTATTGCTGGCATTTTTGAGATAGTTTCCTAAACACAGTCCCTAGAAAATATACAATGAGGAATATATAATTAGAGATGAATGCTATGATCTACCAGGGGAATCAATAAAAACAGTAAAGAGTCTTGGGAAGGACATTCTCCATAATTAGAGATGCTTAACACCATGGTGAGCACTCAGCCTTTGAAACTGTGAGAGAACGCCACACACACAAGATGCCCTTTCCGGAGAAGGTGAATGAATAGCTGTTTATAAGTGATGGGGCCTGGGACCTTGGAGCATTAAGCTGGCATAGAGGACTCCAGGTGTCCTTGCATTCCAGAAGGCCACATTCCCTGCTCACCTCCCTGATACGCTTTGGGGCATTGAGGGTAGAAAGGTTAAATACTGTTTTGAATCAATAGCGTTAAAAGAAAGAAGCCTGCGGTCAATGATGAGACATGGCAATGAGCCACAAAATCAAAAGACAATGTAAATGTTGTGACTAACATTTTTTAATATGATCATATTCACATTCAAAAAAGGAGGATTTTTTTCCCCCAATTACAGCACTAGAAACCAAATCACATTTGGAAGTAGTAACTTTAAGTGCTTTAAAGGGGCTAAGGCTCTGTAGTCTCAGTTTTTGAAAAGACAGGATTTTGAGTTGAGTCCTTTCCTCAATATTGACTGCATGTGTGGCCCCAGCTGGGCTTGGGTGAGGACATCCGAATGTGCCTTGATTATGCCCCTCACCCATACATGTTCGAGGTAGCTGGTGCTCTGGGGTGGTGGGGTAGTGGCAGTCAGTTGGCTTTCTCTGTGTCTCTGAACCTACTACAGTTTACAGGATGCTCTGCTAAGATGATGTGTAAAGTACTGTTACTTTCATTTCCTTCATTATCAGCCAGTGTAGCTGTGATGCAAAATTAAGACAAGCAATCTGTGCTCACTGCGATTCAGGGAAAGCAGCGACGAGCATTATTTTAGTGCTTATTAGTGCCTAAGGAACTTCCAAATTGTGAGTTGTTTCAGGGTTTGCTAGTAGCTGGGTCAGGAATATGCACTTTTTAGACCAGGGCTGTGACAATCAGTATGAGCAGCAGCCTGGAGCCCGGGGAGTATGCTTTCTAAATTTAGGATGTGCTTCCTACACTGCCTTAGTTTCCACAGAGGGAGACTCGATTTACAATGAGGAGGACACCTGACATTTGCTGTCTAATTCAGCCTCTCACACCACCAACAAAGGCCTGCTTAGCTCTTCCCAGGCCTCCTTCCCTGGGCATCCATTCCTCTATTTTGTGTGTCTTTGTCTGAAAGGCTGTTTTGGGCTGTAGTTAGAATATCCTAGGAATAAATATTTTCTAGCTCTCCAAAAGACGATGTCTTGTTAAACTCTGAACACAGACCTGCACGTACATCACCTTGTGGCACCGACGACTGAGTGGCCCTGAACAAGCCATGGAACCTTTGCTCACCTCACATGACAGCCTCTGGACCAGTGCTTTTCAAACACAGAAGCCACCTGGAGGCTGAAAGTGGGGTCTGATGGGCAGGTGGGACAGGGGCCCAGGTGTGGATCCAGGTGTGCGTTTCTCATGAGCTCCAGGGCTGCTGCTGGCCTGGGGACCACACCGTGGGGAGTGGGTGGTTCGGTTCCTCTTGTGTCTCAGAGTCCATGGGACAAGAAGCCCCACGTGCCCTGTACTCTACCCACAAGGTGGGGAGAGGAGACCGGGTACCTGCCAGAGCGTGTCGAACTTCTTTCCCTCGGGGATGGAGAGCTTCCCTGTCTTGTCTTTGTCAATGCGATAGTGCAGCACCTTCCCTTCATGCAGCAGGCACAGGGCGTAGGAGCCGTTGTTGTCTCTGGCTCGGATCCTAGAAGAGAGGATGGAGCTGCATCATCCCCAGGCCTGCCAGTCCCCAGGTGGGACCTGGGAGGAAGCATCCTGGCCTGAGTGGTCAGCAGCCGCTCCCTGGGGTCTGTCACCCGGCAAGGCAGCCGGAGGGCAGAGTCTGGAGCCTCCAGGTCAAGGGCTTTGCCCAACCCAGGAAGGCCCCGTTTACCACTCAGGGATGATGCCAGTGGGTGAGCTTGCAACAAGGAAATGCTAGCAGGTTGGTGATGAATGGACCATGGCTAAGCTCTAGCAGGGCCCAGGAGCTCTGGGCAGTGGTCAGGAGAGCCTGGTGCTTGGTAGCAGTGATGCTGCTCAGGGCAATGAGCACGGGCGCTCCATGGGCCCTGATTACTGTGGAGCCCAATGGACTCACCTTTCTTCACCAGGGCCTGCATTTGGGTCAGATCCAAGATGGACAGCTCCACTACCCGGCTTGGGGTGTGGGCGGGGGTGTTTGGTGGGCATTTTAACCAGCCATCTTCTGGACCAGAGATGGAAGGATATGGAAGCTTCCATCCCCTGGGCCTTCCCCACTCCCTCCCACACTCCCACTGCAGGAAAGGGAGGCAGGGCTGGACTTCAAACACTTTCAAAGGATGATATTGTCGGGTAACACCCCCAGTAGAAGAAAATGACATCCACTGTGGGGTGAAGAGACAGAGCTGAAACCAGAGCTGTGCTGGCCGTGCTGAGCAGCCAAGGCTCTGTCTTCATAGTCATGCTGGGCGACCCTCAGTACCACCCCCTGCCCTGGGTCCTGGTGAACAGAGACATGGGAGTCTGATGCCAGGCAGGGAGCAACACTCCCACTGCAGTGTATGCGACGCGAGGGACTCACGGGGAGGTGAGAGATCCCCTGGAAGACCTGTAGGACTTGGGGAGTTCGAGGTCCCGGTGGAGGCTGAAAAGGCGTGAAATGGGTGCGAATCCCCCAGTTTAGCTTCGTAGTGACACCCACAGTCCCATTCTCCCCTCTCCACAGCTGCAGCCCTTTGGATCATGAGATCCTAGGTTCTGAGGGTGAGTCATGAAGGCCTAGGAAGCCCCTTTGGCCTCTGCATTTTCTAAAATGAGGAAGCTGAGGTCCAAAATTGTTAAGCCGCATGCTCAAATGCACTGTACTTGGGGCAGAGTTCAAGGGTGCCCAGCTGCCTTGGGACATCTGGGTACTGGGGAAATTTCTGATGCCTCCTCCTGGTTGCAAGAGGTCAGATACATGGCCACAGGGAGAGTTGAGATGGCCTTCAGAACTGGACATGGCCACGCTTTCCTGTCCCTTGCCATGGAGACTCATCTCAAAAAGCTAACCCAAGGCTTGAAAGCTGAACGACGGCATGGGAGGAGTGAATTTCAGAATAAGTGTCTTTTCTAGCCGTGCTTGGCTGTGCACAGCGCCCCACAGCTCAGGGCAGCTGGCCAGGGTGCAGGACACACATCCAGGTTCTCTGTGGTCTCAGCAGGTGGCTGTGCTGAAACCTTCTCACTGTGAGAACAGCCTCTTCCTCCCAAACCAACCAAGTCGTCAGCACCCAAGGTGTGAGCTCCCTTTTCACAGCCACATGGCTGATTACAGCCAGCAGTTAGTGATGGTTAAATACAACACAACACAACACAACAAACAAAAAACCATACTGTCATCTTTTTATATAAAGAGAGAACTGAGTCTGCTTTATAGGGAGAGTATCTTATAAAGCGAGACTATTTATGTTTATTCGATACACATCCGTGGCTTATAGTTTGAAGGTGTAAAGAGCTATCCAAATACCACAGCAGTAAGAGTGGATGCATATACCTATAAAAGTTGGCCTTGAAAGAATGGTGACAATATGCCACTCCAAAGTATTTCCTATCATTTAATCTTTTAAGTCTGTGACCTCAAGATCATGGAGATAATACATGGGATCTGAACCAGGTGCAGTGGCACACACCTGTAATCCTAGCACTTTGGGAGGCCAAGGCAGGAGGATTACTTGAGCCCAGGAGGTCAAAGCTGCAGTGAGCCAAGACTGCACCACGGCACTCCAGCCTGGGCAACAGAGTGAGACTCCATATCTACAAAAAAAAGATAGTAGTAACAAATGGGATCTGAACTCTGGTTTCTGAATCCATGTCCAATCTGCTGTACTCCATCTTGCCCTATGTCTTGATTGACATTTTCTTGTTAAAAACTGAGACAAACAAGCACAGACTGCCCTGAGAGATGATGCCATCAACCTCATTAGGCATCTGGCAAATACGAATGAGGACCACAGGAAAGTACCATTCCACGCTCTTCAGACTGGTGGAAGTTAGAAAGATCGTTCTAAGTGCTACTGAGAGTGGGGAGCAGCAAGGCCCCTCCTACGTTGTTTGTGGGAACATAAATGGCTTACCCACTTTGGAAAACAATTTGGGACGGTCTCCTGAAACTGAACCTATTCATTCACAGCCCTCGTGAATGAGCAATTCCACCCCTAGGTGTACGAAATGTGTGCACCATACACTACAGGGCTACTTACAGCAGCTTCATCTGTGCTTATCAAAAACTGCACATAACCTAAGTGTTCACTGACCACAGAGCAAGTAAATTGTAGGAATTCACACAATACAATATTATAAAGCAAGAAAATGAGCAAATGGTAGCTATACAAAGCACAGATAAGTCTCACAAACATAAAACACACTTCATGCTTCCATATACACAAAGTCCCCAAACAGACAAAAGCCACCTGTTTTATTTAGTGAGGTACACCTAGGTGGTAAAACTAAAAAAACAAACACATGAAAAATAACAACAAAAAAAGCAAGGGCGTGATGAACACAAGAGTTCAGGAGGTGGTGCCTCCCAGGAGGCCAGCCAGGCAGACGGGTGTGAGTGCGTGAGGGCGGAGGGGCTCCGGCAATGCCGGGTGCATTTCATTTCTTGACTGGGTTGTGTTTGCTTGATAATCATTCATTAAGTTGTACCTATTTAGTTATGCACTCTTCTGTGTTTTATATTTCACAATAAAAGCAGTATAAAAAGAGAGCTGGTACCAGGAGGAAACAGAGAGCAACCCAGAGGAAACAAGAGTGCTCTTTGCTTTTGAACCAGGAGTTTCTGCAAAGGCCCCACTTCCTTGAGGCTCCTCAAGAGGCCAGGTTCGGCAGGCGATCCCCTCTCTTCCTGTGCTCCACCAAGCAGTCCCGGCCAGCTCCCGGCAACAGGTAACTGGAAGGTACAGGGACTGACCATGGACACGCAGCCTGAGTAGCCCCCTGTGGCAGGTGGCAAGAAACAAGAGCAGGGAAAGGAAACCCACAGGCCCAGCATCTGTAGGTGGCAAAGCCCAGAAGGCTCGTGACATTAACCACCAGCAACTGTGAAGTATCTGCTGGCTGCAGGCAGATCCTGGACCAGGCTATTTTTAATTTAACATAGGAGACAAACTGATTTGGAAGCCTTGCTCCTCCTCTTGGCTGTGTCCTGTTACTGAGAGCTTTGCCCTGGTGGTGGCATCAGCACACCCAGCCAGGCTTATGGCTCCAAAGACACCCAGAGCAGGCGTGCACACAGGCAGGGCTCCCGGCTCCTGTCTGGTTTGTCGCCTTCCGCCTTCAAGGTCAACTGGCCTCAGGCTGTTCACAGAAGCCTTTAATATTTTTTCCCAGTAATTGTCTTGGGAGGAGTAAGTGAACAGATTTGTGTTTTGCTATTGCAAAGCCTGAGATTTCCAGGGCTGGAGCTCGAGATGATGCTGAGAAGCTGTCCTAACTGGTTTTGAGACAGTCCTTGACCTGCGGCACGGCTGCTTTCCCAGGGTGGGCAGAGTTGGCCTCTGGGGTGAGCAGGCCTTGTGCCTCACAGATATTAGAACACTATGCAAAGGTGAGGCGTGTTGACTCTGCTGGGGCATGGCCTGGAAGGGCCTGACTCCTCTACTCTCCTGCACCCTCCTGGGGGGACAGAGAATAGACAGAGGTGATGCCCGGGCACCAAGGGGAAAGTGAGGATCCAAGAAGTAGTGAGACACTCAAGGCGGCCTCCCCGGGGCTACTGGGGACACTGCCTGTATCTGCTGTAGACAGAATAGAAAAACCAGGCCCATTCCAGCCCACTAGGTGTTCTCATTTTCCCCTGCCGTTTGTTTGTTTTTTCTCCTTTTTCTCTCAAAGGAGACTTTAATCAGCATAAATGAAGTGATATTGACATCAGATCACAACTCTCTTTGAACTTTTAACTTCAGACAGGTCATGACTCTTTATGATGACCTAGGTCTGCAAAACCACGTGTGTCAAATAAAATGTCATACTTTGATCAGTTACGGCAGCATATGAGAGCACTGCTGGAGCGGAATTTTTGTTGTGGCAAAGGAGGCTCGTGACAGCCAAACAGTCTCATTCATCAATGAACAAGGAGAAGGTTTTTCCTAAGCCGCAAATTCACTTTTGAAATTGAAGTATAGGACAAAAAGTGAGCTGAAACTTGAACAGCCAAAAGTAAGTGGCAAATAAGAGCAATTAAAGTGGGTTTGGCCAAAGGGCCAATGCTAATCTCAGCACAGAAGTGGACAGGGACAGAATCTCAGGCCAGCAGCACAGTGAGCACCTGGATGTGGCATTCCCACCTTAAAGCAAGGGCCTGTGAAGAGGAAATCCCCCTCAACTCTGGAGGAAAGCGTTCCCGGCATTGGATACTCAGGATTCCCACAGATGAATATTAACCAGGCACAAGCTCAGAAAGATCACTGAAAATATAAGGAAGCGTGAGTTATGAGAAAAGGGGTAGGGAGGGAAAGAGAGAGGAAAAGATAGAGATTTACATCCTCCAAAACTTTCAGTAGTAGAATAATCAGATATAGAATATAAACTATGAAATGTTTAACAAAATAAAAAATGGAACTATGGAAATTAGCAACCAACAAAATACTCTAAAAATACCCCAGAAATATTTGAAAAACAAGCAAACAAATAGAACTGCTAGAAATTTTCTAAAAAATGTAAAAGTTTCTACAAATA